GATTCTGTGCTCAGGAGTTGGGGTGGTACTCAGAGTGTGGTGCCAGGGATTCGAACCAGGGTCATGTCTGCCACAGTCGTGTACAAGTGAGTGTACCTCCTCTACTCTCTCTGTGACCTCATAACTTAATATCCTTAAAATTATAAGGGAACATGGAAGTCTGGTCCAGAAAAAGATGCACTTGAGAAAATTAGTTTGAAAGCGTAGATTGGGAAATGGGAAAGGAAGAGAGGTTTTGTTTTGTTTTGTTTTGTTTTTTGCTTTTTGGGTCACACCTGGCGATGTACAGGGGTTACTCCTGACTCTTCACTCAGGAATTACTCCTTGTGGTGCTAGGAGGACCATATGGGATGCTGGGAATCGAACCCGGGTCAACCGCGTGCAAAGCAAATGCCCTACCTGCTGTGCTATCACTCCAGCCCTGAAGAGAGATATTTTAAGGGGTGGAAAGCACACTTTGTATGCAAGGGTTGGGGTTCTAGATCCTCAGAGCACCTCCTTGTCTCCTGAGGATCACCAGGAGTGACCCCAGAGTACTAAGCCTGAAATAGCCCCTGAGCACTGTCAACTATGGCCCTCAAACCACCACCACTCTCAAAATAAGTTCAAATTAGAAACCCAAGAATGGCTCACTGTAAAAAGCACTTGCTGTGTGTTAAATACTTAGTGGGCCCAGCAGCTCTGCGGTTGGAATCTGGCTGCTTACAACAGTGAGAATCAGGGCAGATGATGTGTGCAAGCACCACAGTTCGTGTGTGTGTGTGTGTGTGTGTGTGTGTGTGTGTGTGTGTGTGTGTGTGTATCCTTCTTCTTCCCTCTGCAGCTTCTGGGGTTGCAGAAAGACTAATCGGGGACGCAGATCTTTTCTGTTCCACTCTTCTAGAAATAGTAGGAAAGAAAATCAGTTGGTTGGAGGGAGTAGTTTTTATGAAAGAAAGAAAGAAAGAAAGAAAGAAAGAAAGAAAGAAAGAAAGAAAGAAAGAAAGAAAGAAAGAAGGAAAGAAAGAAGAATCTTTCTGTAATTTCCTAGAGACACAATCTATGGAGAGGCACTTTTTTGTGTGCTTGTGGTCCACTGAAACAGCATCTGTCTGTAGACCTGTTTGACTGACTTTCATGAGATCACAGAATTGGAAATACTCAGGAAAGTTTTATAAAGCTTCTAGTTGTTCTATAACCTAGCTCCTTAAACTGGATCACAGTGTAAAAATTTGGCAACAGTAAGAGGTTTCTGAACACAATGAATCTAGCAATGCTTGCCCATTCCTCTGGTGAAAAAGGATAGTGAGTTGGAATAGTTTAATAAGCCCTGTTCTATAACATGGGCTTAAAGAAAACGGATCTTGCTAGGGTTCTGGAAGAATCATCCAGGGAGATGGTACAAAGGGTGGGAGTGCATGTTTTGCATGAAGGATTCCTGTAGACCCTGAACCAATCAACCCAAATTCTTAGGCCAACTAGGACCAGAGAGATAGTACAGGGCATAAGGCACTTGCCTTGATCTGGTTCCATCTCTGGCACTACATAAGGTTCCCAAGGCAATGCCAACAGCAACTCCTGGACACAGAGACAGGAGTAAACCCGGAGCACCATCTGGGGTGGCCCCAAAGCTGGTGAAAAAATTAAATAAAGGTAAATTCGAAGTTTGAGCCTCTTGTGGGGGATCACACCTGGCAGTGTTCAGGGCCCACAAATGGCTCTGTGCTCAATGGGACATATTTGGCAGTGCCAGAGTTCAAACCAGGGTCATGGTCACAGTCACAAATACAAGCTTGGTGAGCAACTTAACCTTCGTACTATCTCTCTGATCCTAGGAATTTGGGTCTCAAGTTTTCCCATTCTTGTAAGATATTGCCTTTTGAAATACGGAGTGAAAAAAATCAAAGAAAGATGTGAGCTGAAGCTGAAGGAGAGGTGAGGTTGGCGCGGACCCTTGGAAGAAGGAAGTCCCATTAATCCATCCTTATGGCCTTGAACTATATCCAGCAAAGGCAAGAAAAAGAAGATCTACTTTGGGTCTTCCACCTCCTTCAACATATTAACTACGGCCAGTTCCTTTTACTACCTAAGACATGAGAAATATGAATTTCTTTACCTCCTTGCAACATACCATATTGTGATGTTTGCCAAAATATGAGCACTGACCTAAATAAACAGCCTCCAACAAGGTGGCTCATGATTACTGCACTACCTCAGCCTCTGCACCAGGATATACAAAGTTGTTCATAATTTTTAGTCATATAATATTCCAATCTCATCATTTCATCATGCACTGGGATTTTGTTTGCTTGGTTAATTTCGGAGCCACACCCAGCAATGTTCAGAGGTCATTTCTGGCTGTGTTCAGGAATCAGTCCTGGCAGTGTTCAGGGGACCATATGGGATGCTGGGGCTCAAACCTGGGTCAGCCGCATGCAAGGCTAACACCCTACCTTCTGTACTATCTTTCCAACCCTCGCACAGTAATATGACAGTAGCACTATAGCACTGTCCTCCTGTTGTTCATCAATTTGCTCGAGCAGGCACCAGTAACATCTCCACTGTGAGACTTGTTACTGTTTTTGGCGTATCGAATACATCAAGGGGAGCTTGCCAGGCTCTGCTGTGCAGGCAGGATACTCTTGGTAGCTTGCCGGGCTCTCCGAGAAGGATGGAGGAATCAAACCCGGGTTGGCTGCGTGCAAGGCAAATGCCTTACCCGCTGTGCTATTGCTCCGACCCATGACATAATATGAATAATATGAATTATTCTTGAATATAAAAGTGATATATGAGTACAATCAAATATTATCTAGTCTTTATAATGTTACATTAGTGTTTGCTTGTTTGGGGGTCACCCCAGAGCTCCAGGCTGCTCCCAGCCTTGTGTTAGGATTACTGCTAGTGATACTCAGAGGCCCATGTGGTATCAGGAATTGAATCCAGGCCTTCACATATGCAAGGCAAGTGCGCTGCTACTGAACTACATCCCTGACCTACTGTGCAGCAATATTTGGTACATGCAAATAAAGTACAAATACTGTATGATTCCACTCATGTAGTTCCTATACTAGTTAAGTTCATTATGTCAGACAGTAAGTTATGATGGTTTCCAGGGGGTGGAGTGAGAAGCACTGAGAGTTAGGGTTCAACGGGTTCAGAATTTCAATTCAGAAAATGAAAAGGTTTTGGGGGCCGGAGCAATAGTACAGCGGGTAGGTCGGCATGTGGCCGACCCGAGTTCAATCCCCGGCATCCCATATGCTCTCCCCAGCACTTCAGGGAGTAATTCCTAAGTGCAGAGCCAGGAGGAACCCCTGAGCATTGTTGGGTGTGACCCAAAAAGAAAAAAAAAAAGAAAATGAAAAGGTTTTGGAGATGAATGGTGGCTACATATTGCTACTGAGCTGCACATCTAAAAGTGAAAAAATAATACATTTTATACTATATCTCTTTGGCAGGGGTGGGGGGTGGGGGAGAGTTACTTCTGTGCAGTTTTCAAGGCTCACTCCCAGTGGTACCCAGGGACACCATTCTTTTTTTTTTTTTAGGGACACCATTCTTGATCCTGATTATACTCCATCCTGCTGTGTGGTGCAAAGCATGCCCTTTGAGCCAGATCCGCCACCCATGTTATGCATTCCTTTACTTCAAATAGAAGGTGTGTGTGTGTGTGTCTGTCTGTCTGTCTGTATGTGTGTGGTGTTTAGGGGGGAGAGGTGGGTTTTGGGGTGGAAAGAGTAGAGTGTTTGGAAGAGGTAAAAGATAACTTATTTAATGGTTCACTGCTGAACTATGCTATTTTCCTTTCCGGGAGAAGCCAGACTGACTTTCAGAGGCAGACAGTGATGAGTTTGTTTGTCTATGTAGTGTATCTTCAGTTGGTTATTAACTGGCTGCCTAGGGCAGGGACTGAAGTCTATTTTTACTATCATCAGGTAAACGTACTCACAGGGATTCTCTGAAAGTTTTAGGCGTCCCCCCAAATTTAAAGAGAACGGTTTAAATTTTGAGGATTTAAAGAGAATGATCTGTCACCCTTGGTTATCTGATTCTGAAGTCTTAAGGCAGCCCCACAATCCTGACTCAGGGATCAGGCCCGTTATACAGCACTTACTGAGATGACTGTTATATAGCGCTTACCGAGGCTTTTCATACTTCACTCACTTAATACTAATTAATACCCTCTATGAAGTAGACACTGTCATTCCCCATTTTGCATGAGAGAAAATAAAGGCAAACGGATACATTTACACAACTATTAAATGATGGATCCGAGATAGAAACGGAAACCTCTGAGATCCCGGAGCTCCTGGTCCAGATCATTAGGGTCCCGACTCTCCCTGAAACAGTGCAGTGTGGGTTTGAGTTTGCAATGATCCTGAAGCAGATCTCAAGGTCCAGAGGGGAGAACGGAAACAGAAAGTGAAGTTATTCCTTGATTATGGGCTTGCCACCGCTCCTCCCGCAGCAAAACTGGGATCCGGAGGGTTAACACTGAAGCCAGGGGAAGAGGCTTGTGGGCTTAAGGTCAAATTTTTTGAAACTATGTAATTTCCCTCCAATTCTGCAGCAGCCACTTGGTGACGAATCAGCCGCTTAAGCCCACGGGCTCGGCGATTTAGTGGAATCTCTAGACCATCGAGGCAGGCGACGTGACCTACCGTTAAACTAACCCTAAACAGCCTCGAATCCTATAGGAATCATTTTCCAAGGCATTCCACGGGGGCGACGCCAGGCGAATCAGCAACTCCGGAGTGGCTACCAGGGGGCGGAGTGGAAAGCGAGCAGCGACCATTTTTGTTTTGCGGCCGTGCGCTCTCAAATCATCTTGACTAATTGGACCCCACGGAGGAGGCGGAGCCTATCAGAGAGCGGGGCGGGGCTTGGGCGACGTGATGATTCAAACGGACTAATGAGTTCGGCGCATCTGGCACCGGCCGCCAATGACAGGGCGTATCGGGGCGGAGCCCGCAAGCAACAGTGTGTTCGGTTGTCCCGCGGCTTTGGCGCATTTTCGGCTGGTTTGATTCATCCATTTTGAAGAGACGGGGGAACGGGGGGCTCGTCGGATCCAGGGGCCCTGAACCAGGGAGCGGCGGAGTCCGAGGAGCCTGCAGCTCGGGGTTCGGCGGCAGCGGCCTCGTCGGCCGAAGTTGGGGGGGGGTGGGGCGCCGAGCGCGCGGGGGTGGGGGGGGGTCCTGGTCTCTGGCTTCTCGACTCGGTCCTGTTTCGACGGCGAACATGTCTCGGCCTGTCAGGTCAGTGCGGAGTCCGAGGCCTGGAGCGGGCTGGAGGAGGGGGGTGGGGTGGGGTGGGGTGGCGGTGAGGGTGAGTGGCGGAGAAACGGCGCGGGGCGTTGGGGGTGGGGGGCACACCCGCAGCCCCGGAGTCGGCGTTCGGGGCCGGCCCGCGCGGCCTCCTCCCCTGCGGGGCCCGCGCGCGCGCGCCCTTGAGCGCGGGGGGGCCTGGGTGGCGGCCGCGCGCCGCTGCAGGGCCGCCCGGCGGCCTCCCCCACCCGCCGCACTGGAGCGGGCGGGGTGTTGGTGCGCCGCCCGCGGCGGGGTGGGGGCGTGAAGCCGCGTCCCCCCGCCCCCCCCAGCCCGCCCCCACCCCCACCCCCACTCCCGCCAGGCCCCTCCTCCCGGGAGCGCGCCCCCTCGGAGCGTGCCGGGAGCCCGGCGCCCGCCCCGGGGACGCGGCTCCCACCTTACGTGCGGAAGGGCGGGCACGTCCGTGCCCCTGCCCCGCTCTGCCGGCGCGGGGTGCGGGGCTCCGCTCGCCCCGACGCACGCGGGAGTTCCCGGCTCGGGGGCGGGGCTGGCCGGCGGCCCCGCCCCCCGGGGGCGGGCCCCGCGCCGCGCTCTCGGCTCGGGCCCGACTGACTGAGGAGAGACTCGGCGACGGGGCCCTGGAGCGATCGGGGAGCGGGGGAGGGCGCGAGGGTGTAGCCGCCCGCGTCGCTGCGCGGGCCGCGGCCTTCCTCGGGGATTGGCCGTGCCCGGAGAGGGAGAGGTGTGTGTGTGTGTGTATGCATGTATGCATACGCGCGAGCGGCGCCACCCAAACCCCCGTGCACACGGCCCGGGACGCTTTTGTCACCTCCACCCACCCCCCCTCCGCCACACACTCACACTCACACTCCCCCTCTCTCCCCCGAACAACTTTCACAATCCAGGGCGCGACCGGGGTTCGGAGCCTCGCAGCAAGTTGGCGGCCGCCGGGCTCGCCCACGCGTGCTCCCGCTTTTGTGTGGCGCGTGGGCCGGTCAGTGGCGCCGGGCATCGCCGTCCTTGCTTGACCGCGCGGGCGCGGCGTGCAGAGGGGGCGTGGGGGAGGGTTGGGTGGCGAGGGCCACAGCAGTTGTTGCCCCCGCCCCACCCTCCCTCCCTCTCCGCCCACACACACCACCCTTCTTCATTCCAAGTTGTGGGAAGACCGTAAGTGTTTGATCGCCCCGGGGGGAGTTTCGTTCCACCCGGTTCTGGTCCTGCCTCGATTGCCGCGCCCCCTCCTCCGGCCCGGCCGTCCCGCATCCTCTCCAACTCACTCCCCCGGGAAGACCCGCCGGCGAGTGCGGCCCGGAGTCCGCCTAGATAGTTGAGAGCAGAGAGAGAGAGAAATAGCCCGGTGTCGGTTTAAATAGACAATTGTATAATAAAAGAATTATCTGGATTGGATCGTCTTGTCTTCTGAAAGGAAATAAAGTACTTTTTTAAACTTTCACTAGGTTTTTTTTTTTTTAATGATCTTGCTGTTGTGACGTATTCAAACTCATCTGCCAGAATTTGTGTTCCCAGATTGGAATACGGGAGCTTGAAATTTTAATTTCACCAGCGGGGAATCCAGCATACGAAGTGCATTGTATCCGGGTTGTTTTGTTTGATTTTGAGCCCTTGGGATTTACACATTCTTGCTCAGTATTTGTTAAAAATTTCAACTGTGTTTATCTGCTCCTAGGTGGAGAATGAAGTGAATTTACCTTGGGCCTTGGGGGTGGGGGATCATTAATTTCAAAGTAACTTGGTTTCTGATTATATTTTAGTGATAAAGTTTGTATCTCCTTTCAAAAGTCTCTAATATTCTCCATGACCAATAATAAAGCAGAAAGAATTAAACTTGAGTTTGGTGGTCTGTTAAATTTTGCAATAAAAGTCCTGTTTTAGGAAAGTGCTTCTGTTTCAAGGTGGAACTGAAGAATCTATGTACTTTAGCATATTAAGCAGAAAGACTAATAATAGACATTGATCGGCATGGAAGAATGGTTGGCCTTGTTTAACAACCCCCCCCCCCAGCATGGAAAAAAAAGATATAGGTTCATCTTTCACCGTATACTTCTGCCCCAGGCCTGTATATAAAGCCTATATTTCTTAGGCTTTCACTTTTACTATATTACTCATTTTTATAGTATTAGACATTTTTAAAAGATGGAGAGTTTTACTAGTGGCCCTCAACACCACTTTCGAATGGAGGGAATTAAGTGGTCAGCCACAGCAGAGCTGTTAATAGCCCTTTCACAGTCCAGGATCTTGCCCTCTTTACATTGCACAGTATTTACCTCAGTGAACACAAGCCCTCATATTTTAGTTAATTATAGCAGCCCGTCAAGCTAGAAAGACTTAGACAATCCACTTTACAAGTACCTTAGGAAGACCTCAATCACTGTTCACAAACCAGTAGATGCCAAAATTGGCAAAGAATCTGTCTAGTCTAAATTTCTGTTCTGTCTCCCCACATTTCACCTCCCTTCCCACATTATCACTTTACCACTTCATCTTCAGCCTTCTAAGTGTTGAAGGTTAGTGTATGCTACTTTAACTTTTCAAGGTGCTTTAGGACTTTAATCATTGTAAGGAAGGAAAATGCTATTGTGGAGGTTCAGTAAAAATTCTCTGATTTATTGACCTCATACTAAAATCCAGATTTCTTGAAATTAAGTTTAGATTCTCTTTCCTTATGATCAAAGTCAGATCAATAGATTACTTACATCTTTGTAATAGAAGTACTTTATGTCATCTGAGTACTTTTAGATTGTAGGGAATCTTGAAATATAAGTCTTAGGCTTTAAAAAATTCTTGGTCATCTTTATAATTTCGTGGAGAGCCAGCAGTTTTCCAAGCTTTCAGGTTGCTCGCTTTCAAAGAAGTTGGTTAGAATGCATCTAGGTTTTAAAATTGGATATTTACTCTTACCAAAAGATTAGTTTCAAAAAGTTAAAGGGAACATTTGGAAACCTGACATTTCAGGGTATTTGGGGATTTTTGATACCACTTATGCCCAGGAAGATTGATGCACCCTATCTGAGCTGGAGAGAGGTTGATGACCTAAGCTGGTGCTTTGTATGCTCCTGGCCCAGGTTTGATCCCTGGTACCTTGGAGCACCCCTGAGAATGATTTGTAAACATTCCCAGGTATGACCTCACAACCAACAGAAACTTCACATCCTAGTAAATGTGATTGTAGTTGATGCTGTTTTCTTTTCTTTGCTCCCAGGTTGTGTGTAGTGCAATTTTATTAAGCTTGGGTCTGTACACTATTACATCATCACGGATGTGGCGGCCTGGCCACACCCTGCAATGCTCAGGGCTACTCCAGACTTGCTTATCGCAGGACTGCTCCTGATGGTGCTTGGGGGAAGGGGGATAAGGACCAAATGGTTTGAGGATTGAACCCAGACCTCTAGCATACAAAGCTTCTGCACTAGCTGAGTTACCTCCCCAACCTCCAAGTAGTATCACTTTCCTCTAAAAAGACAAGCTCTTATATAGGTTTTACATACAAAGATAATTCACATTCTGCAAGGTCAGAGTAGAAGAGGGATTAATAACATTTTCCCAACATGCATGCCTATATTTAATTAAGATTAAAATTTTAGTAAGATAACGTGTGGTTTTGGTAAATTTACCAAATGAGCATTTATTGTGAATAAAATCTTAGGCACTCTACCAGAGGCTTTCACTTTATCTTGTTTTATCCTGTCACAGTCCTGCCCTTTAGGATCTTTTTTTCTCTCCCCCTTACACCTTATATAAACACTGGTATACAAAGTTCTTCGTGACAATTTGGTACAGACATTCAGTATACCAACACAAATTCCACCACCATTGCACCTTCCCACTACCATTATCTCAAATTTTCCTAACCACCCCTTAAGCCTTCCCTCTCCCCCACTCCATACCAGGCCCTCAATAATTTATATTGTGTGTTATAGTGTGCTAAAAGAATGATCAAAAAATACTTCCTCAGAATAAAGTTAGTGAATATTGTATTTCACCATGGAGCCATTAAGCCCTTATATAAGAGATTATTAAAATGTTGTTAAAGGTTAAGCCTTCTGTGTTGATATTTTGTTCATTGAGATTGGATGCCATCTATATTATATCCCATCCAAGGTTAGTGTATGGCTCCTGGCTTATCAGAGTTAGAGGTGTCACTCCAGAAGACTAAAATTTTTTATGAGGTGATACAGCTGGAGTTAAATTTTTAACTGGGTGGCATTTTGGGACATGTGTGTGACTCCAGGGCTTCTGGAAGTACAGGAAGATGAAGGAGGTAGCCCATCCTTGACTCTGAGAGCCTGGAGATTTCAGTCACAAAACCCACATACCTGAGTTTTTCAACAGATTAATTTCTTGATGAGGCTGGTCCCCAGCAGAGTTTTGCTAGGAGTATGGCGGTTATTGTGGAGTGTGGAGGTTTTCGGCTGCTGGTGCTCTGTTTGGGTGGGTGCTGGGTACCTGGGATGACTCAGCCTTGTGCAGGGTCCGGGAGAATCTGCTTGTTGATTTCTCTCAAGATTGTTTTTTATGAGTCTCTGGATAATGGCCAGTGAAAAAAAGCCAGTGTAGGATTTTTTTTTTTAATTTTTTTTTGCTTTTTGGGTCACACCCGGCAATGCTCAGGGGTTACTCCTGACTCATGCACTCAGGAATTACTCCTGGCGGTGCTCGGGGGACCATATGGGATGCTGGGAATCGAACCTGGGTCAGCCATGTTGGCTGCGTGCAAGGCAAACGCCCTACCTGCTGTGCTATCGCTCCAGCCCCAGTGTAGGATTTTTTTAAATCCCCGTGTCATACAATCTTAAAAGAATATGTTACTGAATGTCATAAAACCTTCAGTATCAAAGCAGAACCATTTGAACACAAATGTTTGAACAGTCTTTTTTCCCCTAGTAAGTTGGCATGAAGATAGTCAAGTGATTTTTTTTATTAAAACTCAAATGATGGGTAAATTCTATATAGGTTTGTTAATTTTTAGC